CGAGAATAAAAGTTATGCCTTCTTTCTTTGCGTGAACATTTGGGCGGTGTTATGCAAATCTTCCCACATCGTGACGTAGACGTGGGGGCGTGTTAGAACGAGCCGTTTTAGGTAAGCGTGGTTGACTCTTAACTTTTATAAAGAATATCTCTTTGGATTTGAGACTTTAGTCTTTGCAACTTTACAGATCTTCTTTATGCACCAAGAGCTTGTAACATTTCAAAGAGAAAGGAAAAATTGAAATCGCATCATATGACCCCTTTAAAAATATACTGTATCTAAATTACGACCTATGCTCTCAATGTCAAATGCAGAAACATTCATTCATGCGTTCATTCATGCGTTCCTCAAGGTTAGATTTTATTGTAATGCTTTATTGCGTGGTTGCTCTGTGTGCTTAATAAACAAACTGCAGAAACTAGAGTTCTTACTAGAACCAGAATGTATGACCATATTAGCCCGGTTCTGTCAACACTGCACTGGTGCCCTATTAAACATCATATACATTTTAAAATCTTGTTAACTACATGAAGCCCTGAATGGTTTAGCTCCTCAGTACTTGAGTGAGCTCATATCGCATTATAGTCCTTCACGTCTGCCGCGATCTCAAAACTCAAAAACTCTTTGATAATACCTACACTGTAAAATAATGATTGTGATTTTAACGGTAAAAGACTGTAAAAATGCTACAGCAAAAACCTATTAATTGGTTAATGGTAAGTTCCCCTACTATATACAGTGAAAAACTGTATTGGTCATTTCATGTAATTATATGGTAAAATACAGTTTTTGGAAGTGAAAAGGAATGTATAATTTACAGCGAAAAACGTAAATTGACATTCCCAAAATTCCCTGCTTTACATTTCACATTTGATGTTTTTTCATTGAAATAACTGTTCTCCTTAGTTTTTTCTAATCAATTATGTTCATTAGGGTTGTATGTTATATCTAATGTTGTTAAATGAATGCTTATTTGCATTACGTTAGTGTTGTGTGTTACCATGATGGTGTTTAGTATTTGTGTGAATGACACAGCGCACCTTATATATTTAGTATTTTCCTTTTCAGCTTGTGGAAAAGCTGCTTGTGATGAGCTTTGGTTCATCATGTGACTTTCTGACCACCTGCTTTTGGTGGCTGTCAGAGTAATACAAAGGTACTAAACAGATTTCAGAACTTTAATAGGTTGGTATATTAATATATCAGTTAATGAAACACGGTTTTTAAATGTAAATTTAAATTAAATCCGTAAATCCAAAAATGTTTCTTCCGTATTTTTTATGGTAATATTCTGGCAAAAACAGCTGCCAGTTTTTTTACTGTAAATTTTACAGATTTTTTTGTTTACACAATCTGTACTGTATAACGCGCTATATAAATAAAGGTGACTTGACTTGACTTGACTTAAAACAACATAATAAATAAAGACAATTATTTAAAAGAACAGTTATCAGAAGCTAATCTAATTTAACTTGCTCTGATTTATTAATGATGCCACAAAAGTTGAATGTCAAAAAGTCTATGCAAAAGTTTGGGAATCTTTGCAATAATAAGATTTTTATTATTTAAATAATTATAAGCTGTTCATCAAACCCCCTGAAAATGATTGTATAAAACCTGTGTGTGTTTTTAATTGTTATTTTTATAAGGAACAGAACTGCCACACACAGTGAATGTTACTCTAAAAACCAATTCTAAACTAATGATCGACTGATATATCGGCCAGGCTGATTTATCAGATGATATTTGGCTTCTTTTGAGATTATCACATATGCCAATAATTGTCAATGTTTTTTAAATTAACAATATATTTTCATTATATAATAAATATATATATTGAGTAAATATTTGAATTTTTAATGACATTTTTGAAAGAAGCCACTTATGATCACCAAGTTTGCATTTATTTGATCAAAAATACAGTAAAAATTGTAAAATTGTGAAATATTATTACAATTTAATAAACTATTTTCTATTTTAATATATCTTAAAATGTAATTTATTCATGTGTTGGCAAAGCTGAATTTTCAGCATTTTCATTATTCCAGTCTTCAGTTTCACATGATCCTTCAGAAATCATTCTAATATGCTGATTTGGTGCTGAATAAACATTTCTTCTTATTATCACTATTGAAAACAGTTGTACTGTTTAACATTTTTATAGAATAATACATGTCATACATTTTTTGGAGTCTTTGATGAATAATCTCACTCTTTGACCAATTCAATGTGTCATTGCTGAATAAAAGTATACAATCAACCATAAAACAAAATGACCCCAAATTTTTGAACTGCAGCATTTATAGCAGCTGCAGATATCTGTATCAGCAGTGTTGGGGAAAGTTACTTTTAAAAGTAATGCATTACAATATTGCGTTACTCCATGAAAAAGTAACTAATTACGTTACTTAGTTACTTTTTATGGAAAGTAATGCGTTACTTTACTAGTTACTTGAAAAAAGTAATCTGATTACGTAACTCACGTTACTTGTAATGCGTTACCCCCAACACTGTGTATCAGCATCAGTCATAAAAAGCCAATATAATACTTACTCCAATACTATTACATGTGTTCTACAGACCAGATTGTCCCAGAATTAAGGCAGATTTAAAAGAATTACTAGATTAAGCCTAGACGTATACTAATCATACAGTCAATGGAAACTCTTTAATCTCGGACTATTCTTAATCATCATAAATGATTTAGACAAGTGACAGATTTATATATCCAATTTAAACAAATTTTGGTAACAACAGTTTCTCCAGTATATTAAAATTCCGTCAGTATCGAATTAAACACTGTTGAGAGTTTAAAATAAAAAGACTTACTTAAGTATGCCATTGGGTCCTGTGTAAACCTCAATGACATTGGGGCTGGACGGTAGCATGGTGATGATGCGGTCAGCTTTATCAGCCACTTCAGCAGGGCAATCCAGGATCTGGAAGGACAAGCAAGGGCAATTATTTCCACAGGCTTGTACAGTCTACACGAAGGAAAGAAGGTTTTGTTTTGAGCACATTGTTTGAGAAGCAGATACTTATACCTGTGCTCCTGAGTCCTGAAACTCCTTGCAAGACTCTGGGAAGACATCAGTAGCAATGACAGGATATCCATGCTTTAGTAAGTTTCTAGCCATAGGTGTCCCCATGTTACCGAGTCCAATAAAACCCACTGGGGTCTTGGAAGCCATTGATCTGCAGGATACTGAAAAACCACACACAGACAGAAATCATAAATTACAGTAAAATAAAATCCTACCTATAGAAACCGAAAGCTATTATAGTCAAAGAGTGCACCAAAACTGGCAGTGGACATTTTTTTTAGCCTTTCATGTCTATAAAATAGTAAATATGTGAGAGAGAAATTAAATATGTGAGCTTACAGGAGCAGTTCTGTAAAAATCAATGTCTGTATAACATCAAATTCATGGAATAACACACTGAGCACTATTAAGAAGTCTTTGCAAGATTGTTTAACCCTCATTATCAATTGTTTATAAAGACCTTCATATCCTTACAGATACAGATGTTTAAAGGAAAACTCTGATATAGACAAAATAAACATTTATTTAGCTTAAAACGACTAAATGAGGAGACAAAAAGCTTAAGTCCATTATCTGAACTTGGTGAGAAGGCTGACGGGATGTCTTTAATTTGATAACAAAATTTATTTTATTTTTTATCTTATAGTTTGCAGTTTAAAAAACCTTTGAACTAACGTTACAGTGTAACCTGTGAGCTCCTAAACCCCAGCTGCATTGCACAACCTACATTTCTGATCCTCAAAAAGTAAACAGTGACTTGCTTATTGTGCATAATGTCTGTTCATATGCTTTGACATATAACCTATGTCCAAGTATATTTCATATATGTTCACATATTTTGCAGATTGACAAACAAAACAGATGCAAAAACAACATTTCCAAACTGCTCTTTGCAATAACATTAGCGGCGCTTTAACCCCCTTGGTCTGTCAATTAATAATTAATGAGGAAACAACATACCCAAAGTGAGCGCCACATGTTTATGGCTTCTTTTATAAAAATTCCGACACCCTCTAAACAAAGCGACCATGCTTTTTTCTCTTGACCTCAGCGCCTCATTGACAGTACGAGTCAGGAACTCAGGGGGCGGGTCCTATGATTGACAGCACCATTCCTCCAATCACGGATAAGGATTTGCGTACCGTCAGTGAGATATCATGCAGTTACTGCTGTGATTTCTTTTAAGAGAATTAAGGCGATACTTCTTAAAAGATTAAGAATGGCTAGACGTTTTAGGCTTCTGAGTGAACTTATGACCGTGTTGTCCAAATCCAAGAGCGACAGTTTGTGCTAAAATCTCTTCGTTATTCTAGATACTACTAAACATACACGAATATTTTCAATAACAAAAGGTGTGGGAACTATTATTTATATGCAAGAGCCCCCATATCAATGTCATAGGCATATTTTATATAATATTTTTGATATACACAGATCTAGACATATTATACACTTTTGATATAATTTGCTAAGAAGTTTTAACTAATCTAATTTCACTCTTAACATAATAAATGATCAAACGTTTCCTAAAACAATTAGATACATACTACAACCATATTATATTCTATAAACGTCTTGAGTAGCGCTTGGCATTTTTCCACAATTTCCACGTATGTTTTGACGAAGCGGACTGAGTCAGACTGAAACGATTCGAACGGAATCAGTAAACCGATATAACAGTGGAGTATTTTTTGAACCGGTTCCTGTTCGAGAGAACCGATTCTCTGAAAAGAATCAAAATTCCCATCTCTATTTTGCTGGGGTAACTCAGTAACCAATAGTAAGACACGGATCTCGGCGACAAGAGTAAATAAACCAATCACAGGGCGCAACCGACCGGAAGTAGCATAACGTTCCTAGATTCCCAAAACATGTTGACACCCGGTTCAGCTACATGACAGAGACGCAATCTGCGTTGTCTAAGAATCTAAACAACAAGAGTTACAGGTCTTCAAGTAAACATGGATTACAGGTATAACGGACTCATTGAGCGACGACTATAATATATATATATATATATATATATATATATATATATATATATATATACGTCGTATAATCATCTAGTATACTTGTAGCTATGATTACAATCCGCAATGACTTGTTAGTTAGCAACATGATGCAAGTGAAATATATCTAGAAAGTCGCTTTCGGTTTAAGCAAACATGTTTACTATGATTAAGAAGGAATGTTATGTTTTAAACCATCATATAGTGAGTTCAGTGCGAATATGTCATTTGCTGTATTGAATCGAGCTGTCATTGACGTTAAAGGCCTGAACAGGGATGGCAGCACCATCAGCAGTGCCATGCATACAGGCCTACTCGGCATCGCCCCATCTGGCCTGATATAGGGCATGTCTTCTTCATGCAGATGCACATGGGCTTAAACCAAATGTATGTCAGCTCAGATATATTTAAGCATCTAAATAACATTTTAATGCAGTAGAATGACCTATAGTTTATTGTGAATTATGCATTGCTTAAACACCATCATGCAAAGTGGCTGTCACTTTTGTCATTAAATATAAAAAAATATGAACATCTTAGGAATTAAAATGAATTAGGAGAGACTTATAATGCAAGGTGTTATGTAAGCGTTTGGAATACTTGATTCTGATTGGTTAATTTTTAAATAATTCCAGGGCCATATTGTATAATTGACCTTTCATTCTGTAAAAGGAATGTTTTCTACATAGCTATGTTGGTGTTATGGCTCTCTGAGGTCTCTAAAAATAAGATAAAAATCATTTTAAATAACTATTTTAAGTCCTTTTATTTATTTGGTAAGTAGCGGAGTAATAATGCAGAATAATTAAAAATTCATTCACAGTGATACAAGTCCCTGTTAGGGTTAATTTTGTAATAATGACCATCTGACTGAACAATATCCCTTGCCTATATTATGAAAGAGAAAATGTGTCAGTTAAACCTCATTATTTCTTTGTCATTTTCGTTCCTTCTTGTTTCAGGTAGACCAATCACAGGCTTTCCTTGAGCACTTATGATGTCATCAGCATCTGCTGGTGGAGGAGGAAGTGTTGTCATGGAGACGTCTAACTTCGCCCATGTCATCTTCCAGAATGTTGGGAAAAGCTTCCTCCCGCAGGCAGCGCTTGAATGTCATTACACACTCACCCCCTTCATCACCCCACATCCCAAAGACTGGGTTGGCATCTTTAAGGTTGGTACAAGTTACATATTTCACCAAGATCTGGTCTGTGCAGGGCCTGCAATATTTAGGCTTTCATACACAGAAATGCTTTTTGTAAGAAAATGATATACATTTAATTTAGTCTCACTTTCTTTTCTCTCTTTTTTTCTCAATTTAATCTCGCACTTAATCAAGAGGAAATGAACGCACGGAAACTTTTCATCTTGTTAAGATACAATGACAGTTTATGACTGGTATAAAAGGCACTTCAAATCAACCAGATCTTTCCAGATAGCATTTAGAGTGGTGGGTTGCAGGGGAAAATGTAGATTGGAAAAAAAATGGTTAATCCACTCAATATCACTCTTGTTTTGATGGTTAGTTTATGGGGAATAGAGTTCCGGTGTGTGTGTGTTTGATCACATGTGCTGTTATGCTGGATGCTGTGGGTGTTTCCCGTGACAAATTATTCCTTCCTTATGCTTTTGCTTTAGAATTTTCTCCTTTCATCCTTGCATCTGCAATAAGATGTAGTGTAATAACATATATTATGTTGCTATATGTAATGCATAACTGGATAATAGTAGTCACACTTATAAATGGTTGGATGTATTCTGACAGTATCTATGGACTCCCAATTAATTATCAATGAGGTAATGTGGGAATTATTCTTCAGGCACTCACACACACTCAGTACACACACCTTAGCCCAGGGGTGCCCAAACTCGGTCCTGGAGGGCCGGTGTCCGGCACACTGTCGCT